GCAGGAATAATGGATACACCAAAGTGTTAAAGACCATTGCTTGAGTTTTACTTTTGACAGCTCTGTAAACATACAGAGCTGGATCCAAGGATCATGGAAAGCAGAAGCGGTAAAATAGCAGCTCACAATAAGGAAAGGGCTACCAGTATAACAAGTGTTTCTTCAAAAGGAGGCACATTAAACATCTAGCCTTGGCGTACAACACTGTTTTCCCCTTAATTACTCAGTTAATAAACACCTTTGAGTGAAGTATATAAACATCTCTTAAGAACAAATCTTGTTTTCTCCCTTTAGAAAACCCACTAACTTCTTTTAAAACTTTAATCTTTCTTTAAAAAACATCAGGAAATATTAAGCTATTCTTTCACAACTTCACTTTGTGATAAAAATTAAATCACGTCTCCTGTTTTTCAAAACTCCTCAGTAATTTTGTCATGTTTTAAGATTTGCGAGGTCAGCAATACATTTCATTAAAAAAAAGAAAAGAAAAAAGACAGACACTGACCAAAGCTCAAGAGAGTTTCCTGCGTTCTGTGTCCTAGTTTTGTCCTGTTTGTTAGTTCTTAATTTTTCATGTTTGACAGAACAGAAATCCATTTTAGATCCACTTTATCATCTTAGAAAAACCTCCAATATTTACAGCTCAATAAATGATTTTACCTAGTCAAAGTTTCCAGGGCAGTACCTTACTCTCTGACATTTTATTACCCTTTCATTTAGTTATGCAAATATGTAACCGTTCTGTTTTCCTCCCTCCAGTTTAAGAAGTGTGAGATAGGCTCCATTATGACTGTAATAAACAAAGTGACAAATACTGTAAAGGAAAATCGTCAGCACTGCCTCTGTCTTTCGGCAGATCATCGAGTACGCACAGCGGGGAAGCTGCTGCACAGCGTTTCTGACTTTGGCATATACATACACATCAGAGAAACTGTAACAGAACCTGAAAGACTTACAAATTTTATTGGGAGGGAAGGGTCAGAGGGAAGAGACTTTTGAAACTTTTAAAATAACATAAACGCGTAAGGGTTTCCCTTATACCACCCCCATCATGGGGGAGAACTCCATACGATATCACGTTTACTAGTCCTTTACTTCCGTGCACAGTAACGCAAATCTCCAACTTACCGTACACATCTAACGTTCCCAAAAGGTTAGAGATTCTCAAGTTACTTTTAACCCTATTAAAATATCTCTGGTAGGAAATCTGTATTTTTAATTGGAAAGTTACATTCAATCTTGTAAAACATTTGCAATATACAGTTTTTACAGCAAGTAATACACTATTGTAGATCTACAAAGATTTTTTTTCTTATACAGTCGGCTCTTTACCATCTCGCGATCCTCTTTAAATAAATATTTTAACAAAAACACCTCACTTCTGATAATGGAAGTAACATCACAGGTAAAGAGAGCATCAGCCACGTTGCAGAAACGCTACAACAAAGCCCCTTTCACCCGCCAGTCTTGAGAAAGCAAATCCTGCAATTCTTCTTCATCTTCGCTACCAATAGTCTCATCCTCTTTCTCTTGCGTGGATCTTAATCTCATGGCTTCTTTAAATTTCTCCTTCATCAGATCCTGGCGGTTACGCAACAGCTCAACACGGCGGTAACACTCGCTGTTGAAAAGTAAACCACCTATTAATATTTGTGGCCTTTCCACATTAATTGGATTTTCTGAAGTGCTGTATTTTGCTTCTCCAAAAGCATGAAAAAAAGCTTACAAGCCTCCCAACAATAAAAACAGTTTTTCAAAATGCTGCTGCACCTTCTCTGTATTAATCAAGTGGAAACAGAACAAAAGAGAGAGGAGAGGTACGGTCAGTTCTCTAACAATAGGATCTAATCCAAGTGTAGAACAACTGCAACTCCACCACAAACTAATTCCAGAAAAACACAGAACCAGCATCCACTTCCATACAGGAAGAGACCCAATTCTTTGCTCCACTTGTTTTTCATATATGGTAGGAAAGGTGAGCATTGGCTCTCACTTTTTATATCTTAGAGGTTGCTTCTCTGAACTGAAGACAAAAGAGTTAACACAGGTGCTCATATCCTTTATCTGCTTATCGAGTGCTAAACTAGGCCCCTCAACTCATCCCTGACTTCCAATTTTGCACTTAAAGACGTTATAGTCTCAAAATTATATTAGTAATAATTCTAGCAATTTTAATAGGATATTCTTTTGAAAATGCCAAGTAGTATCAGCCTCTCTGACTTAAATACATCTTTGCTCGTTTCATTCTTACTTGCTAGGAAGAGTCAACAAGGAAAGATTACTATTTGGATCCTATTTCCCCTTGTAAATCTGCAACAGAATTACTTACAGGCAGCCAAGCCTGAAGATTTGAAGGCTAAGGAAGACATAAGTGTCATTGGAAATCAATTTGATTTGTAGAGTCTTTATAATTTTCTACCATGTGCAAGAAAAACCCAGCTAACCAAAAGCAAGTTCTAAACCAAAAGAGCTCTGCACAGGCGGAAGTTCAGTGATTTACATTTGATACTTATTGCAGTGTAATGTCTAAACCACGCATGGCATTTTTAGATATGTACTTTAGACTTTTAACTGCACTTTGTATCCCAGACTAAATTCATCATCTCAGATGCTTTAAATCGTGACCCATAATTCCGCTATTTACTTCACCAGCATCTGGGAAATGTTTTTGATTAAAAGTGAGTGAAACATCCTAGAGTTCTTTTAAAGATAGCTTTTTTCCTAATGCTGAAAGCCCATGGGCCCATATGCTTGAAAAGAAGCTTCTGAAGTATTTAAAGGTAAAACAGAAGACATTTTCTCATCCTGCTTTGAAGACCTGCTTTATCTGCAGAATTTCTGCAAGACATGCAGTAGCTCTCTAAAATAACCTATATTCAAATACACTCAGAGCAGAAAGCTACAAAAACGGCCTTCTAAAAGTCTGTAAGGAACTGTATTTCAGGGAAAAAACATGATGGCAACAAACTTGGAACTCTACAAAATTCTGATTTGTATTTTCTACGTAAAACAGCATTTTAAACTACTGGTAAAAATAAATGCTCAAAGACAGCTTTAGATCAAGCCCTCTCCAAAATGACCTATTATTATCAAATCTAAATTTGAAGCCAAGGCTATTTTTACTACTGCTAATTATCTGTAGCAAGTAAATCTGGCCAGGTGGTTTAAGCGCTGCTTTAATTTTCAATATCTCCTTTTTGCTGAAACTTTCATTAAAATCAGAATTATTTTTCTTTTCTATCAGTTAGCTGTACACGTTAAGCAACACACTGGTAACAATCTGTCACACTAAGCTATATTTCAGGTTACTTTGAGTTTAAGCTAATGCTTCTTCAACTGCGACACTTACTATTTCAAAAAAAAAAAAGACTTCATGTAATGAAGTGCATCAGTCAACAAAATCTTTCAGAAACTTTTATTAGAAACAAGGAGAGTTAATCACAGAACAGTACTTTCAGCACAGCAAATGGATGGTCAAAACACAAATCTCATTACGGAAATTATGCTTGTTTGCTGTGCAGAAAATTAGACCATGTTTTTAAAAAACGGTTGTTAAATATGTTCACGTAAATTCACTTAGAATTCACAGAGAAATACAACTTAAAAGACGTTTCATGGTGGTGAAAGAGACAGTTTGTTCAACAGATTTACATTTTATTGTTTCATTTTGCCCTTGCTTACTTGCTATTTTCAAGTGCAGTCCAGTGCAGCCTGTGTCTTGGCAAATAATTATGCAACTTTGCCACCAAAATTCATGTTCTTACTAGTTAACAATTTGAGATTTACGGGAATCTTTCTCCAAGTCAAATATCTAGGTGATTAATGACAAGCAGTATCGTAGAACATTAACGTTAAAAATGTTTATGATTCCAGTTAAATAGATACCCATTCTTGCTGGAGAACAGAAAGTTTGAGGAAAAATTGATCTACTTACATCTGCTCATCAATTTCTCCAATCTGACGATCTAGTCGTCCCTCCTCATCCTCTTCTGCCACTATCGCTTCTGAAATCTAAACCAGAAAGGCTCTAATGAAATTGATCTTCACCCTGACTTTCACTTTTGTTCTTTTTTGATGTCCATGCCTGCCTCCCTCCCTCCTGTTCCCCCACCCCAAGTCAAGCGTCTTATAACTGTTAATCTCCTATACATATAGTCCCACCTTCACAAACGGCTCTGGAGGCATACACAGGAAAAGACTTTATGATCTGGATTAATTTTAAATGAAAAGGACACAGTGAAATGTTATGTTTTAAAAAGAAAAAAAAAAAAAAGCCCCAAAGCAGCCAAACTACTTTTTACCGTTTTGAATTTTTCAATACACTACTATTTGAAATGGGGCATAAACAAACTAGGCACATCCAAACTCTGAGGCTGAAATAGGAAACCCTTCTCAATATTTGGGACTTTACACAAGCTTATTGAAAGTAATGGTTAAATATTCCCACTAGATCCCAAAGTATTTCTAACCTGTTATTTTTTTCAGCATATACTTTCTCAAATCTGAATGTCTGGGAGATGCTATGCAATCAATGGTCCACGCATAACTGAGAAGATTTCTTCTAAGCTGAAGAATTATCTCAATGGCTAATGCTAACAAAATGTATCCACTACTGTTTTTGTATGAACATCCAACTCTGCTTATAGCGCTGACTGCTTTAACATGATAAGTCTTTTTGCACCACTTAGCAGTTGACATATGAGCAATTATTTACAGTTAAAATTCAAGAAAAAAGGCAAATAACTCAAAGTAAAGAGTGAGAATACCAGGTATCTTTAATGCCAGTTTCATATCGCTCAAAAGGGGCAGATAAAAACCTGTTCTGGGGAGACGTTCCATGCAATTCCATGCAAAGAAAGGAATGAAAGTACAGAAAAACCGTGGCCAACTTGTATCACATACATAAAAATCTTCTACTTTCCCAAAGTTTGGGGTTCCTTTCCAGGAAATTCAAATTAACCATAAAACCCAGATCCCCTACACTTTATAGATCTTGCTTCAAAAAGACAGGCATATTTTGGGGTGAGGGGGAGGGGGGAGGCGGAGTTGCTTGGCTTTTAAGGTTAAAATATGAATATATCTCATCTTAAAAAGAGCCTATACATACAGTCCACTGTTTGGATACAGAAGACCGATCTGCGTTATGTGTTATCTTACTTAAATGTAATTTAACTAATGTAACTAGATATACTGATGATCAGAGCCTCATCAAAAGTTCTTTGCACTTAATTTTGCTTCAGTGGAAAACGTAAGGAACCCTTTACTCATTGTTCAAACGCATTTAACTATACCCCCCATTGAAACAAACAGCTGACAAATGCAGTATGTCAGTCATTCTGCAGATTTGCATGAAACTTTATTTCTGTACCGTGTACTGTATTTAGAATCAATAAAAATAATCTCCATTACTTACTGTGTTGACCTGTCGCATCGCCTTTTGAAATTCATCCCACTCTTTGTCCATTTGATCTTTTGGAGCATCAACTTTTCGCACCTAAGGAATATCAGAAAACAAGCATGTTAGCAATTAAGGCCAATGTCCAGTGCCTCTGGGCGCTGTAAACTGAAGAAACAGGAAAAATATTATGGTGTTTTTTTAAAAAAAAAAGTCTGGTCAACGTACTTCAGTATAAGTAATGTATATGAACAAGATAGTACAGCAGCCATCTAATAGTTTTGGAGGAAAAATACTGATTTGACTCTATTCCTGGATTAATACAAGCTTGACTAATATTAAAGAACAACTGACAAGGAACGGATGGTGTGGGACGTCTGGATTAACAGAAATGACTAAGCCTGGTAATTTGAGGGTTCTGTAATTTCACTATGTCAAGTTTTAACTTTTAAATTCTTCCACAAGTTGCCTGTTCAATCATATACAGCAGCACATCCCAACAGCTAAAAGCAGTGAATTGTGAGCCTTTAATGTAACAAAGTAGTACATGATGCAGTAACTAGTCTGACTACCTCCCTTTATTTCAAATCTAGCCTGATTTTGTTGGCCAGCAAAAGAAATACTGAGGCTACATACCACTTTAATACCTGCAAAGCTTTTTCTTTTGTAGTAGAGAGCATTAATTAGTAAGACAGATGACTGGAAGAACAGCAGCTGTAAGAATGGGTTTAAGATCTGCAATGACGTAGTCAAAAACAGGTTGTGCTTTTAGCATAGCGTTATTAGCAAATACACCAAATCATCTACCCTTGTACCCAAAACTTCCACAATTCAAGACTGGAAGCTGAGGCCTGTATCGTTATGTTAGATTATATCTGGCCCTGGATTGTTTGGACAATAATCTGTGGTATTTTTCTGCATTAGCTTTGTTTTTCCTTTATTCATTCCTCTTTTCTGACAACACATTAATCATCATCATGGTAAAGACGACTGTTATGTACATGTTTTGTTCCTGAATGATTATACGAAACCTGGCAAAATGAAGTACGTATATAGAATAAATTGAAAGTTTCAAAGCAAACTACATATTGGGAAATAATATCCATCATTTTGTTTTGCTGTTTTGTGATTATTTCTATCATACGTGTATGTAATGTGTTATTACACATTGTGGCTGTCTTTTGTATTTCATAATTATTTGTATTTGTTATAATAAACTTAAATACTGCAGATATGACTTTTTCTTTAAATATTTACCAAATTCAGAATTAATATGCTTTACAACATTTTTGAAGCCCACAGCCTCCCCTCCAAAAAGCCCATGGGAAATTCTGAAATTAGATTATTTTGTGTATGATTCCAGCACAGAATCACTGCAGCCTTCTCAACATAACCAATGTCAAAGACACCTTCCTCCTCCTTCATATTAGCTACACTTAGAAGGGGCTGATTAAAATGAACAGCATTAGCAAACAGTTGAAGGAAGAGAGCCTGTTGAAACATCTATCCACTTGTAAACTTTATCAGCGAAGGAAATGATCTTAATAAAGATCGCTAACCAGTGTCCTGAAAAGATGTAAGGACACTGTTAGACACTCCTGCTTTACGCTAGCCTCCCAGCTCAGGGCGAAACTGAAGTATTTGAAGATCGCAATACATATTTCAATATTCAAAAATTCATTATTCAAACGCTATCCGAACATGAGTGCATTCACGTTTGCCAGCGTACCCACGTGCACGAGTGGCGCCAAAAGAATCCTGCCAGAGCACCTAAGAGACACAGAAGCTCGTAACTGTGATAGTGGGACTAAGCGAACATAAGGAAGCCTTGCTCAAAAAGGTCTCCTAATCAGAAATCCTGGCTCTACCTCACAATCCAACTGAAACACACGCAACAGCCTTCCACAGTGTGATCAACAGAGAAACGTGTGTACTTCGAAAAAATGCAAGTCCAAAACACTATTACTTTGATAAAGATAACAAGAAAGCCATCAAATCTGTGGTAAATTTTACAAAAATATGCTTTGCATTTCGAAAATCAGTGTTATTTTGATCATCATTTGGTACTGTGCAAGTTGCAGAATGATAATAATTATAATGAATGATTTTGATCAAAATTCCAAGACCGTTAATAGTCATTTTTGGACAAAACGCCTTGAACGCCCCATATATTTTCTCCTTTTTTCTGACCAGCAGAAAAACCCCATAGCAATAAAAGACAGAGGGTTTAAGATCAAGTTTGCTGTTGTAGTATGCCAGGACTAAAGATCAGAGCGCATGCCACAACCCAGTTGTTTTCATTCTAGCAGTCTGTATAATATCAACACAAACTAACTCTTAACACTTTTCAACAGGATCTCTCAAAGCACATTACAGAAGTATTTTTATATTCTCCATTCAGAGAGGCAGAAACTGACATACGGAAATGCCTTTTTCCCAGAGTCACTCACAAAAATAAAAACAACTAGTGGCTCTTCCAAATGCCAATCCAGCATTTTAGCCAATGAATAACATTGCTTCATCTTTCTTTAACCCATAAAGGAGATCAAAAATACAGTCTGAGAGATGGTTCAACAAACTCTTCCCCCCGCGACACCCTTCTCATGTCTTCTAATGAATACAGAATGAAATAATTCAGTCATTTTCATATGTTCTGGTTATTAGTCATAACTAACTACCTGGAGAAGCATCCTTGCTACTCAGAAAATTATGATATCTGGCAGAAAATAAATCTGGCAGAATAAAAATTTAAGATCACTTACTTTTGCATCCACTTCAGGATCATCAAAGAACCCTTCTGGCAAAGCTTCAGCCGTGTTTTCTTTCCTGAAATGTTGGATTATTATTCTCCTGAGTTAACACTTTATAACTTGCTTTTTTTTATTATTTTATTTTTGTGCAGTTAAAAATAGTCAAGAAGAAAATCCATTTTTATAAAAGGACCTAGAAATGAAGCAAGTTTTCTTTATGCCCTGCGTTTCACCTACAACCATCAAAATTCATTTCTTCAATCTGGTCTTATCTAACAGACAAGGAACTGCACAGACAGGTTTAAAACTCATTGTCAAAACAGGAACTGTAGCTTAGGCTCCCTAAACTATCCTTTCCAGTGTGCTGAGCACCCAAACATTTTAACAGCAGAATCTCTGCTTTTAACAGCCTAAGCTAATGTCTAAGGAAGTGCCTAAGTGAACCAAACCATTATTGAAAGAACAAGTCAATGGTTTTCTTTAAACAGTTAAAAGCAGTGATTCACGCTAAACTTCAGAAGTACCCTGTATTAAAACTTGCAAATACAGCTGTCTAAAAGACCCATTGCTCCATTTCTTATCCTGCCTACAGGGTGCCAAATATTGGTCTGATATTATACACAGACTATTCTGATTACAAGATAACAGTAAGACAGATTTCTGACTCATCACAACAACCATTTTCAGGAAAGGTAACGTTTATTTACGATTCCTAAATTTATCAATATTTCATTTGACTGCTTACCTTTCCACTGTCTTCTCTTGTATCTCTGCTTTCTGTATGGATCCTGAATGGGAAACTATAGGCGCAGCTGTAGTTTTGCTGTCAAAGAAGTCTAAAAGAAAGGACAGAAGCCTATGAACAACTGTACGAGCTCCTATAAAAAACTCTGACTAGAGAGGAATTTAAATTAATACCTTACTGAGTCGAGCAAAAAAAGACAAACATTATTGCACTTGACAACCTCAAACAATTATAGCATAGAAGCGCTAAGTAGGCTGAGAAAGCACTATAAAATAATGAACTACCCAAAAACCTCTCTCCCTACTCTCTTTCCACATCCTAATCGGCTAAAAGCAATAATTAGAAAAATAAAGCCCTTCCATCACACAGCTTGTCCTTACCGAATCACTTGCTACCTTCATCATTACCTGTAGGTAGAGAATTAGCTATTACTTCTTGAGTTGGAGGTGGAATTTCAGTTTTATGCGTCATGGGAGATTTGTCTGAGTGATCTTCCTCTTCTTCCTCTTCATCATCGTCATCATAACTTCCTGACAATAAACTGGGACCTGGACCCTTTGAAAGCTGTTCTTTTGCATCATTTTGCTCTGTTTCATCAAAAAAATCTGCTGGTAGCCTGGTAAAGAATACAAGATATAAACATTTGAAACTTCACAAAGATCAGTTACAGTCTAGTATCTAAAGTCTATTTAATCTGGGAACACTAAGATCTTCTCAATATTGTGCAATATACTAAACTGCAGAGCAGCTAGTGTAACCATTGTTCAAAGGCAGTACATAATTGTTGCTTTCTTTTAAAGTTCCTCAAGAACGTTCAGGTTAGTACTGAAAACACATTCAACTTTCAATTTTTATGCTAGTATATTCACCGTAAAATAATTTAATAAAAGCATTCTATAACAAAGTGAGGTTTCAGGAACACAAATTATTTAGGTAATACTACGTTCCCACTCAAAGTTATTTGTATCTGTGTACCTGCTGTGAATGAAAATTCATAGGATAGCGGTAATACAAACATCATCTAAACCTTGATAACCTTCATGTATAATACAACTACTTATTATAGGTACTTCTTGCAGCTCAGAACTGCAAAGAAACAAACTCATTTTGAAACCAGGAACTGCTGCACAGCCTCAGCAATGAGAAAATCCAGATTTTTTAGGATATTTGCAGGCCTCCAAGCTGAATGTTTTTTCCTGCCTGATTTTAAAATTAATCATACTGAACAATTTTATGCTGAACAAATTTCACAACTGTGTAATTTTATACACGCAAAAAGAATTCCCACAAGATAACAATGTCTGTTAGGGTCAAGATAATAGTGCTTAATATCAATGCAAGATAATAATAATTCACCCTATGTAAAAGTGTACAGGAGACCTACAAGTCTCACGCGCTATCTCCCAACCTCACGTGAATATCAAAATACCCTCAGAAATCTCAAGTTGTACCAAGACGCATATGTGAGGACAAATGACTCAATTCCTTGAAGTTAAGTATGCTCACATCTGTAAGAGAGAGACTTCATCTGGAAGGTATGCATTTACATGCATTTTAAGAAACAAAAACGTCTTAGTAAAAATCTATTGGTGGCATTTATTAAAGTTTTTGTGACTAAACATCACTTGCACGTGTAGTATATAACTCTTCATACTATCAAGGCTATAATGTTTTTTGCAGGATGCTAGCATTACAGATCAGAGTGCATGCCACAATCTAGCTATTTTTGTTCTAGTAGACTTTATAATACCACCCTACTCAGCATTAAATGTCTTGTTATGGCAGTAAACGAATTCTTGCTTTGTCACAGCCTCTAGAGTCAATACCCTAGTCTTTGCACGGAGGAAGATGCTGCCAAATTCATGCACGTACACCCACATTTGACACCGAACAGAAGCAGAGATCTGCCGATTTGTATCTGTATCTTTACCCTTGGCTGGGAAACAGAGATGAAGAAGAACAGGGTGAGAGCGTAACAAAGTTCATACAAGTTACGAGAAATGCGTAAGATCTACTTACCCAGATGTGGATGTGTGTGGCTTCTCATCTGCACCTAGATAACAGTCAGGAGTCATTTCTTACAGTCCATTCTTTTAAAAGAAACATCCCTCACGTAAAGTCTTACCACAGCAGTGACTTCACAAAGATAGCGTCTATTGTCATAATTTCTCAACTGCCGCGACTTAAGTGTCCCCTAGGACCGTCAGGTACTACCGGTGCTAACAGAGTTCCAGCCCTGCGCACACAAAAAGTTACTCTCAAAGAGGCAGCGTTTGGTTAAGCCTAGCGTTTAGTCAAGCCTAGAACAGTAGTTTGTCTTACAACACCTAATATAACAAAGAAACGTAAAAATACTCGTTGTGTACGAACCAGGGACAACAAAGTATTTTGGAAGCACAGAGATAATTCTTCAAAGGCAGAGAACTCCGAAACGTTTGTTTTCACAAACGCGGCATTTTCATATGTTACGTATTCAGTAGCAGCAAGAGAAGAGATTCACCTACCTTCTTTCCTTCAGCACAAAGTTTTGTGAACGGTTTGAGGTAACCTAATGGCTTGATTTCACTGGAAAGGAATACTTCTACTCCGAGGCAAGCGTTTCCACTGCTTACTTTACATCGTTTCTCACGCTGTCCAGACCAACCCCACCACCCACGACCTAATGTGGCCCACCAACCCAGAAGAAAACTAGCTAACCTACCAAAATAACAGCTTTCTCCTGGCCTGGTGAACAAACACATTCCAGACGCAAAACGTCAGATTCTGGCACGCGCTTTGTAGGTATTGTCATGCCTTTACCTTTTGCTCTCTTTAATTCCGTATTTTCCGCATCAGCGTTTTTTCTCTTGACGGGGTGAGACGACGTGCCAGCAGCTGAACC